GAGAGAATGGGGGCAGGGAGGGGCAGAAGGAGAGGAAGAGAGAATTCAAGCAGACTCCAGTCGGAGCATGGAGTCAGAGCTTGATCTCATGACCCTGACTGAGATCAGGACCTGAGCCGAAACCAACAGTCAGTGGCTTAACTGACTGGGCCACCCAGGCGGCCCTAGATATTAATTTTAAAAGTAAGATTGGATGGGACACCACTTTTACTATAATGCATTCAGAGATCATATTATGTATGTGCTTTCTTGAAAACTTTTAAAAATGATGCCTAGATTGGGACACCTGGGTGGCTCAGCTGGTTGAGCACAGGACTCTTGGTTTCCACTCAGGTTATGATCTCAGGGTCCTGAGATGGAACCCTGCCTCCCGCTCCCAGCTAAGTGCTGAGTCTGCTTGAGATTCTCTCTCTCTCTCCTTCTGCCCCTCTCCCCACTCTCTCTCTCTCAAATAAATAAATAAATAAATAAATAAATAAATAAATAAATAAATAAAATATTTTAAAAATGACTCTTGGGTTGATAACATTTGTATCTCAGAATTTACAAACTAAATTATCATCACATCAGATGCCTCACTAAACAGTTTTCGTGCAAAATGGAAAGGCACAATCTGTTGTTCAAAATACTCTAGGCTTAATTTTTATTTTCAGTCATCATGAGAATACTGTAGGCAAATCCAAGAGTAATTTGCCTTATAGCTTATATTTTGTGTGCATTTTTGTCTACATTTACATTAATGCATAAAATATTGAAATATTAATTGCAAATATCAAAACAGAAAGTGAATTAAATGTATTGCTTTCATCTAACTACTATGTCCTTAAAAACATGTTGTATCTTAAAGAAGGTACATCTTAAAGAAAACACATTTTTATCTATCCACACACTTCATTAACTACAAAGCTGCTTTAAATATATTGTAAAGAACAATATCTGACTGTATTATACAGGCTACATTACAAGATTACTGGTGTGGAACTCTATCTACATTGCTCTGGATATAGAATTTGAGATGAGCTCCTTAAAGTAAACCTGTTAGAAATCATCATTAAAACAAAACGAATGTATTTTTGCTCACCTATTAGAAAAAGGAGGCATTAAGACTGCATTAATAAGAAAGGAAGCAGATGAAAAAAGAATATGCAAGGATTAACAACACAAAGTAAAATCAATATATAAACAAAATGTTATATCAACTAAAGATTCTTGATTTCAGAAGAAAACATCCATAGCCAAACACCTATTTTTTCACTGTTCTGTAAATGAAACCTAAACTATCCTTAAAATTGGAGCTTTGCTTTAGTCTCAGTGTCTTGAACCAGGCCATTGGGAAAAATTGGCTTGAGGAACTTGAACTCATTGGTCCCTGAGTCTCCCGTCAGACACACCTGGTACTGGTAGCTGTGCGACAGGGTCCCCGCGCCGCTGACGTCCAGCAGGTGGCCCGCGAAGGGGCCCTCGGGCAGCGAGCAGCCGCCCCCCGCCGCGGCCCGGCTCCTCCTGCCCAGCCGCACCGCCACGAACCCCAGCACCGCCACCAGCAAGAGCGACGACACCGACGCCAAGGCCACCACCAGGTGGACGGTGAGCGGGTCGGCCCGGGCCTCGGCCGCCGCCGCGGCCGGGAGCGGCAGGTAGGGCTGCGAGAAGCCGTCCACCAGCAGCACGTGCAGCGTGACGCTGGCCGACAGCGGCGGCTCGCCGTTGTCCTTGACCAGCACCAGCAGCCTGTGCCGGACGGCGTCGCGCGCGCTCAGCGGCCTGGCCGTGCGCACCTCGCCGTTGTGCGCCCACACGCCGAACAGCCCGGGCTCCGTGGCCCTGAGCAGCTGGTACGCCAGCCAGGCGTTCTGGCCCGAGTCGCCGTCCACCGCCACCACCTTGGTCACCAGGTAGCCCGCCTCGGCCGCCCTGGGCACCAGCTCGGGGCAGCGCGCCGAGCCGTTCTGCGGCGGGTACAGCACGAAGGGCGCGTTGTCGTTGGCGTCCCCCACCAGCACGCGCACCAGCGCCTGGCTGCTGAGCGCCGGCGAGCCGCGGTCGGCCGCGCCCACGCGGAACTCGAACGCGCGCAGCGCCTCGAAGTCCAGGGAGCTGAGCGCGAACAGCTGCCCGGTGGCCGCGTTGAGGGACACCAGCGAGGCCAGGGGCAGCCGCGGGTCGTGCGGCGGCAGCAGCGAGTAGGTGACCTGCGCGTTGGCGCCCGCGTCTCTGTCCGCGGCGCTCACGCGGCCGATGTGCAGGCCGGGGCTGTTGTTCTCGCGCACCCGCAGGGTGTAGGCGGTGTGGCTGAAGGCCGGCGCGTTGTCGTTCACGTCGGACACCGTCACCGTCATGTGGTGCTGGGTTTGCAGCCTGGGGGTGCCCAGGTCAGTGACGGTGATGGTGATGTTGTACTCGGCTCTTGTCTCTCGGTCCAGAGCTGTGTTTGTCACGAGGGTGTAAAAATTCTCTATTGATGGTTTGAGGATGAAGGGGAGATTGTTCTCGATGGAACACATAATTCTCCCATTGTCTCCAGAGTCTAGATCAGAAACACTGAAAACAGCCACCACAGTCTCCGGCGAGTTCTCAGGGATAGGGCTGGTAATTGAAGACAAGGTCAGTTCTGGTGGATTGTCGTTCACATCAACCACCTGAACTATCACTGTGGTTTCTCCTGAAAGGCCTCCGCCATCCTTGGCTTCTATGTCCAGTTCATAAGTATTCATAACCTCGTAATTCAAATATTTGACTAGCTGGATATCACCAGTAATTGGATTTAGCTGAAAAGTTTTGCGAATTTCTTCAGAAGCGTGAAAAAATGCGTATGATACTGTCCCAAAATTTCCTGTATCTAAGTCAGAAGCTGAGACCGTGACAATAACAGAGTTAATGGGGCTGTTCTCTAGAATTTGAACCTCATAGAGTGACTGTGTAAATTCTGGGGCGTTGTCGTTTATGTCTAAGACCAGGATGTGGATCTGGGCGATCCCCGACCGGGGTGGAGAGCCGCCATCCAGCGCGGTGAGGGTCAAAATGAGCTCTGGCTGCTCCTCACGGTCCAGTGCTTTGCCCAGCACTAGTTGTGGGTATTTTCTTCCGTCCCTACGACTGCGTGTGAGAACGTGGAAATGGGCATTAGGGGCGATCGTGTAGTTTTGGAGACTGTTTCTTCCCACATCCAAGTCCTCAGCATTTTCCAAAGGAATTATGGTTCCTGGTGGCGTGTTTTCTAAGAGTTTCAGCTGTATTTCATTTTCAAAGAATACAGGAGAATGGTCGTTTACATCTATGACCTGAAGCTCATTTGTAATAAACTGCAAAGGGGTTTGCAGTAATATCTGAAAATGCAGTATACAGGGCTCCGTGGGGCCGCATAGCTCTTCCCGGTCCAATTTCTCATGCAGGAGCAAATCGCCGGTCTGATGGTTGAGCTGAAAATGCTGTTTGTTCCCTTTAGACACAACTTGGGCCCCCCTCACAGCCAGTTCCCCTACCCCTAGCCCTAGATCCTTTGCCAGGTTGGCTATTAAATAGCCCCTCTCTGTTTCCTCAACCACAGAGTAGCGTCTTGACTCAGACCCAGCCAGAGACCCACCCAGAAAAACAAAGAGAAATAGGACTTGCCTTTGTCTAAGAAAGCGCTCCCCTCTGGCCTCCATTGTGCTTTCGGCCACGTTCCTTCCGGAAATATTGCCAAACTAAGCCTCCGGCAGCGCTAGCAAACACAGTCTTTTGCCTTCCAACCTTTGAGGAAGGTCTAGCGAATAATCCTTCCCAGGGCTCAGATTTGCTTGCTTGGAAAATCTGCCCAGGCTCACAATTCCTAGTTTACCGAACTGGATCCGTGCCTTACAGAGTGCGCACAATGCCGGTGGTTTAATTCACCTTCTTAGTCAACAGCGCCACCATGCGTTCGCTGGTAGCTTAAGAATCTTAGAGAAGGTGTTCTGTTGAGGCCGGGTGGGTGTTTCGATTTTTTAATCGCTTATTCCCCTTATCAAACCCATTTGACGCTACTGGAGGAGGTTCTTGTGTTAAATGAGTTAAACAAACACAACGTAGGGAAATGAAATGTGCTTTTAAAAAAACAACCACTGTCTTTGGTAAGAGTCCTCATTTACATGTTTTTGCTGATTTATATGATTTTGCTGGTAGAGCTACTCTTCCTGCCCATCTGCAATTATTACACATAAACTTTAAAGGATTTTGCTCTAAATGATGATATGCTTCATAGCCTACTTGCATTTTTCTCTTATTTTCCAGATTTTGCAAAATGTGCATGAATTGCGTTTATTACCAGGAAAAAATGCTATGAGAAGGTGACCTCATACAAGGTGATGAAAAATTATAATAGGTCATGTCAGGGGGTATATTCAGAGGCCACAAATGCCCAATTCTTTTCAATCTTCACAATCATTCAAGGAACACAGAGATTACTCCTCTTCTTATTTCATAGTAATTTTACAATTACTGGTTTCATCTATATAATAACTGTAATAACTGTTTCATCTGTATTTTATCCGTGGAAACACGTATTTGTTGAGTTTGTAGAAGTTAGGTATTATAGTGGTAACAAGACAAATCATGTCTATATATCTTATACAGTTTACCACCTAATGGGATGAACAGACTTTAAATATATGTTCAAACAAACTGTGAAAAGTGCTATATAGGAAATGTACTGAGTGCACTGAAAGTATGCTATAGGAGGACCTGACTCAATGGGTGGCGGGTGAAAAAGTTTCATCAAAGTTGTGCCACTTAATCTGGAAGATGAAGGATAAGATGTTTGTCTTACAGGCTAAGTCTTACAGACTAAGACTGTAAAATGGGAAGAATACATATGAGAAACTGATATGTAAAGGCCTGCAACAGTAAAGTATAGCTATTCTAGATAATAAAAGGACAGTGTACCCAAAACTTCGTGTCTCAAGAGTAAGTGGGAAGAGAAGGATGGAGAGATAAACTGTGGGCAAATAACAGATGCTTGGATTTTATTCTGAGAATAAAAGGAAGATATTGCAAGGTTTTAGGCAGAGAAATGAAACAATTCAAATATCAAGTGTTCAATCTAGCATCTTCACAATTACCAGGAATGTAACATGAAGGATCATTTATTAGGATTACTCTTAATATTAGTAACACTAAAAATAACAGCAATTATACTTCTATATCTTTATATTATCTCATTTTATCGTAATTTCAAGCTAGAGAAATAGCTGTTACTAGCATTTTGGGGGAATAGAAATGATGTGACTTATCCAAGATCCTATTAAGTATTAGCAGTGCTCTACACTGTGAATCTCAAAAGGACACCTTTAAAATTCATATTATAATTTTAATAGTAAAGCTCATACAAATAAACATAAAATGACATAAGAACTTAAATATAGGCTGAAGAACACTAAGAACTAAAACTGTGTCTTAATGTATGGATGTGAAATTGAACTGCAAGAAATAAAGTTGGATGAATCATTTAGGGAATTATAGAAGGAAATTTAAATTATAAAATAAAAAATACAATTTCCCCATATATATTCCTTAAGCTAGAACGCAGGAGAGGAGACTCAAATTAATCAGGAGGAGAGAAAGGAAAAATATATTGAAGGAAAGAGACACCAGGGACTGATAACTGCATAATCTTTCAGTAATAGTGATCAGTTGAATTAATAACCAAAAATTATATATGTAATTCCTTATACATTAGAGAGCATTTAATTCCAGCAAAATTTTGTTCTATGAGTATTTTAGTGTCTTTAAATATCAAAATATCACAGGGTGAAATAAAGACACTTCTTTCTTTCAATCATTTAGCCAAAACTTTTATTAACCTATAATCCTCCAATTACTGTGCTAATCATACAATAAATGGGGAGCTGTTGGGAAACATATTCCAGAACCTAAAAAGAAAAAAAGTTATGAAAAGCCTAGGAAACAGAAAAGGGAAAAATAGAAGTAGTGAAGAAAAAAAAAATGGCCACACTAAGATAAATCTTTCCCCGTAGGCTTATTTCCAAAATGGAATCATAAATGCTCCAAAAAAAATTTTTTTAAAGATTTTATTTATTTATTTGACAGAGAGAGAGATAGAGACAGCAGGAACACAAGCAGAGGGAGTGGGAGAGGGAGAAGCAGGCCTCCCGCTGAGCAGGGAGCCCGATGCAGGGTTCAATCCCAGGACCCTGGGATCATGACCTGAGCCGAAGGCAGACGCTTAACGACTGAGCCACCCAGGCGCCCCAATGGTCCAGAATTTTTGAAAAATGCAATGCCAAACTACATTTGAAGTTTCTAAAATTTGCTCAAGGACAAAGACATAGATTTATTTCCTCATATCTTCTGGATTTTAAGGATGTTAATAGATGACTTGCAATTGCTAAAATGGGTAACTTTTGAAATGAGCAGAGGTTTAAAGAAAAAAATATTAATAGAAAGCATGAAGAATTACATGGCTTTGAAAACAACTGGACACATGCTATTTATTTAACTACATTTGAGAATATTAGTGGTTGACTGAGCACTTTTGATGTGAATGGTTTGTAGAATCCAGCAGTCAAGGTTGTCACAATCTCTAAGGAATCATAATCTTCATTATGGACACTTTAAGGAAGTACATATTTAGAAAAATGTGAGAGGTTGCTTTGTTATTAATGAATATGCATATATTAATGGTTTTAGTCAATATGAGTTAACAGAATAAAAGTTATACTAGTCTAAGAGAATATACAAACACAAATATTCTGGGTTGGAGAAAGAATAAGCTTATGTAGCGATTAAAACATTTAAAAAATGTTTTAAATTTTAAGTTCTGCAAAATTACCTACGAGCTGTGGAAGGTGAGTTTGGAAAAAGGTGCTGTAACTTAAAAATTAAAGACTTCTGAAAATACAAAATTTACTTTCACACTTTAAGTTGAATGAAGTTACAGTGAGACTAATCAACAAAAAGAAAGCAAAGGAAATTTGCATTCCTTATACCACAAATGAACACATTTAGAAACACCAGTAACATGCACTAAATTAGAATAGAACCCCAATAAGCAAGGCAGTAAAAAAGGACTTTCAACAAATTAACTGAGACTAGGCTCAGTAGACCCTTATTAATTAATACTTAATTGAATTCAAAGTTATCCCTGAAACTGGGGTTTGCTTCACTAATCCTCTCTTCACCCAGACCAAGGAAACTGGGGAGAACTGGCTTGAGGAACTTGAACTCATTGGTTCCTGAGTCTCCCGTCAGACACACCTGGTACTGGTAGCTGTGCGACAGGGTCCCCGCGCCGCTGACGTCCAGCAGGTGGCCCGCGAAGGGGCCCTCGGGCAGCGAGCAGCCGCCCCCCGCCGCGGCCCGGCTCCTCCTGCCCAGCCGCACCGCCACGAACCCCAGCACCGCCACCAGCAAGAGCGACGACACCGACGCCAAGGCCACCACCAGGTGGACGGTGAGCGGGTCGGCCCGGGCCTCGGCCGCCGCCGCGGCCGGGAGCGGCAGGTAGGGCTGCGAGAAGCCGTCCACCAGCAGCACGTGCAGCGTGACGCTGGCCGACAGCGGCGGCTCGCCGTTGTCCTTGACCAGCACCAGCAGCCTGTGCCGGACGGCGTCGCGCGCGCTCAGCGGCCTGGCCGTGCGCACCTCGCCGTTGTGCGCCCACACGCCGAACAGCCCGGGCTCCGTGGCCCTGAGCAGCTGGTACGCCAGCCAGGCGTTCTGGCCCGAGTCGCCGTCCACCGCCACCACCTTGGTCACCAGGTAGCCCGCCTCGGCCGCCCTGGGCACCAGCTCGGGGCAGCGCGCCGAGCCGTTCTGCGGCGGGTACAGCACGAAGGGCGCGTTGTCGTTGGCGTCCCCCACCAGCACGCGCACCAGCGCCTGGCTGCTGAGCGCCGGCGAGCCGCGGTCGGCCGCGCCCACGCGGAACTCGAACGCGCGCAGCGCCTCGAAGTCCAGGGAGCTGAGCGCGAACAGCTGCCCGGTGGCCGCGTTGAGGGACACCAGCGAGGCCAGGGGCAGCCGCGGGTCGTGCGGCGGCAGCAGCGAGTAGGTGACCTGCGCGTTGGCGCCCGCGTCTCTGTCCGCGGCGCTCACGCGGCCGATGTGCAGGCCGGGGCTGTTGTTCTCGCGCACCCGCAGGGTGTAGGCGGTGTGGCTGAAGGCCGGCGCGTTGTCGTTCACGTCGGACACCGTCACCGTCATGTGGTGCTGGGTTTGCAGCCTGGGGGTGCCCAGGTCAGTGACGGTGATGGTGATGTTGTACTCGGCCTGGCTCTCTCTGTCCAGCGCTCCTTCAGTTACTAGAGTGTAGAAATTTTCTACAGTAAGTTTCAGAAGGAAGGGGAGATGGTCTGGGATGGAACACATCATTTTGCCATTTTCCCCGGAGTCTGGATCTGAAATTCCAAAAATAGCGACCACTGTATCAGGGGTGTTTTCTGGGATATCACTGGTGAATACTGACATAGTCAGTTCGGGCGTGTTGTCGTTTACATCCATCACTTCTATGGCTACAGAGCATTTTCCTGATAGTCCCCCGCCATCTGAAGCCTCAATTTCCATACGGTAAGATTGAATTTCCTCAAAATCCAACATTTTTTTTAATCGAATTTCCCCTGTGACTACGTTTATTTCAAAGGCCTGAATCACTTGATTTGAGGATTGGAAAAATGAGTAGGAGAGCTCTCCAAGAGTCCCAGCATCTAAATCTCTAGCAGTCACAGTGATGACAAGGGACCCTATAGGGCTGTTCTCTGGGATTTGCACCTCATAGAGCAGCTGAGCAAATTCAGGAGCATTATCATTTATGTCCAAGACTACGATGAGAACCTGAGAAGTCCCAGTTCTAGGCGGTGACCCACCATCCAGGGCCATGAGCGTTAACCTGAGCTCTGACTCTTCTTCCCGGTCCAGCGCTTTGTCCAGCACCAGCTCAGGGTATCTCCTGCCATCGCTGTGATTTCGAGTGAAAAGGTGGAAATGGGAGTTGGTGCTAATAGTGTAGTTCTGAACTGTGTTACTGCCCACGTCTAAATCTTGAGCTATTTTCAAAGGAAATGCAGTCCCTGGATGGCTGCTTTCTGAGATTTTCAGGAGGATTTCATTTTCCAGGAATTCTGGGGCGTGGTCATTTATGTCTCGTAGCTGTAGTTCACCTTTAATAAACTGCACTGGGCTTTTTAATAAGACCTGGAAATGCAGTATACATGGATCTGTGTCACCGCACAACTCTTCCCGGTCCAATTTTTCGTTTAGGAGCAAATTCCCACTCTTCTGCTCGAGCTGCAAATACTGTTGATTCCCTTTGGAAAGAATTCGAGCACCCCGCGCGGCCAGCTCCCCCAAGCCAAGCCCCAGATCTTTCGCGAGGTTGGCCACAAAGGAGCCGCTTTCCCTCTCTTCTAGAACCGAATACTTAATGGTCGTACTGCCCACTTCCCACCGTATTAACAGTATTAGGATAATAATGGAGCTCACTTGCCTTTTCTGCAGCGCTTTGGGTAGCATTGTCTCCATCGTTCTTCGGCGTCCAAAAGATGCAGTATTTAATCACAAAATAATTGCTGTGCAGCCAACTCTACTATCTTCATTCAATAATCTTGAGTTAGTTGCTAACATTGACTGACATGGGGATAGCGGCCTCTCTGAAACCTACCATCGCCCAAGAGTGTAAAACCTTTCCTTTTCAAGTAGCCGGAAACTGCTCAGCTGTTACAGAGGCTGCAGAGTTTTTCACTTTCTTAGCCTGCAGCGCCACCAAGCGTCCTGCCTTACAACTTCAGTTTTTGTTTTTTGGGGTGGGTTTTTTGTTGTTTTTCATTTCAAAGCATCATGCAACAGTTAAAACAAAAAGAAAGCCTTTTGGGTTATAAACTCCACTCCACCCCACTCTGCGGTATTCTTCAGGTAGCTAACAATATTTGTGAGAGCAAAAGTAATACTTACATATCTATATCTATATTCATCTTCCTTAAAGGTACAAGTTCAGTATACAAAACTCTGCTCAAGACAAATTCATTTATTCATTTAACCAGTATTTCTCTATGCAGGCAATTTTCTAGCTTCTGGAGATAAAATGGTAAATTAAACACAAAATTCTTGCTCTTGGGTGCTTACATTCAATTACAAAAAAATTGCTGTATTGTGTTAGAAGAAGTTATGAATTTTAAAATCCACTTTCTACTCCCAAATTGCAATGTGCCTGTAACTCCTGAAAAATTTTTTAAATGTGATTTCTTGTCAGTCTCTGGGCAATTTTTTCCTTTGTAAATTCACTCTGTGCAATGCCCAGTAAGACTAAGAGGAAATGGCCATTTGTTTTGTTAGAAATCAATGTAAGTTCAGAATTCAGACAATGTCTTTTCTACAAACATGTAGAAGGCAAAAAATTCAATGGAGTCAAAGATATACTTTCTTGGGAAGGGTTTTGATCTGTCAACATTGGACAGTGGCCCATCCCAGTGTACATCCCCTGGGACTATGGAAATGGGTATATTGAAAAACACCACGGCACCAACTAAAGTCAAGTGGTTGCAGTGACACTAGCAGGAAAAGTAGTTTCCCCCAGAGAAGAATGCTTTCCCAAGGAGGAGGGATAAGTATCTAAGAATACAAAACAGTAAGTGTTCCCTATAGTCATTGTACCAACTGGTAATCATCTATGACAGTTCACTTATTTGGACACAAACCTCAGCCAAATATAATTTAGTTAAGCCTAGGTCCATTTTAATTAAGGATAAGAATAAAATATTCACTCAGCTATCAGTTTAGTATAAATTACCTGACTTCAATGGAGAGTTGAAAAGAGAAATTTTTCTTAAGATACTACAAATAAAACCAACACAAGACAAATATGGCCTAAACTGTGAAAGTAAATGATTTTATGATTGATAAAGATTAATGATACTTACACAGCACTTTATTTATGACATTACCTAATAACCTGCCATTAATTACTTAGTTCTTGGCAGGTATCACACATGTAGAAGCTTGAGAAACTAGGAGGAAGAGTTTGAAAAATATAATTTGGGTTTTATTAAATAATACATTTTAAGGAGCACCTGAGTGACTCAGTCGGTTAAATGTCTGCCTTCAGCTCAGGTCCTAATCCCAGGGTCCTGGAATCGAAACCTATAGCTTGCTTCTCCCTCTCCCTCTGGTTTCTTCTCCCCCTCCCTCTGCCTGCTGCTCCCCCTGCTTGTGCTCTCTCTTTCTCAAATAAATAAATAAAAACTTTAAAAATATACATTTGAACTTTCAAATTGATAGACAAAGACAAGGAGATAAAATGTACTCTCAACATTTTATATTCTGTAATAGAGTTTAGGGTGTGTGGAGGGTGGTTTCCGTTTAGAAAGAAAGTAAAAGAATGATATTTAATTTCACTTATTGACAAAGGTAATGCATTGTGGAGAGAATATTAACATTTTTCTATATTCCTTGAAAATAAACCTTTGAAATTCACTGTTGGAATGTTAGTAACATTCATCAAATATTTATTATGCATTTATAACTGACTTGGTATTATTTAAAAATACTATCATAAGCTTACATGCAGCTCACAAACTGGAGTTTAATTTATTGACACTTTTGTGCAAAGTTTATATGCATAGAAAAATGTATTGACTATTATGGTATATTGAAATACACATAAATATGAATGGTTGTCTTAGCATTTAGCCATCTTTAGTGTTTATCTTTAATTATTCACATTGTAGCCATTACCCCAAAATGAGACTTTCACTGGCAGATTAAGTAATATCAAATACTCACATTTTATTTTATGTGTTTTGTTTTTAAAGATTTTATTTATTTATTTGACAGAGAGAATGAGAGAGAGAGCACATGAGAGGGGGGAGGGTCAGAGGGAGAAGCAGACTCCCTGCCGAGCAGGGAGCCTGATGCGGGACTCGATGCGGGACTCGATGCGGGACTCGATGCGGGACTCGATGCGGGACTCGATGCGGGACTCGATCCAGGGACTCCAGGATCATGACCTGAGCCGAAGGCAGTCGCTTAACCAACTGAGCCACCCAGGCGCCCATTATTTTATGTTTTTAAAGTAGGCTCTATGCCCAGTATGGGGCTTGAACTCACCACCGAGATCAAGAGTTGCATTTTCTACCAACTGAGCCAGCCAGGCACCCCCAAACACTCACACTTTAAAAATTTCCCTACATGGTAATGGTGATGACAGTTGTCACCAATAGTTAGATATACAATCTTACTTAAGGGCTTTGTATTACAATTTTTCTAAGACGAATAGAAGATTAAATTTCAAAAATTTTAAATTATGCAAATAAAAATTTACTTTTTATTCGGATTGTCAAATATAGTTGAGAGTAATACAAATCTACTAAGCATGATATAGGGAAAACACTGTACATACCCAGTATCTGATTTTTTTTCAACCTAAGGAAGTGTAGTAAAATAATTAAAAAACAAACTATCGATAACATTTAACTAAGTTAAAAGATTTTCAAACTAAGTAGGGCTTAATAGGATAATCCAATACTTAACTGAATAGGAAACTATCACGAACCATGGGGTTTTCCTCAATTTCCTTTCCAGTGCCCTGAGGAGGGAAGTTGGGAATAATGGGCTTGAGGAACTTGAACTCATTGGTCCCAGATCCTCCCGTCAGACACACCTGGTACTGGTAGCTGTGCGACAGGGTCCCCGCGCCGCTGACGTCCAGCAGGTGGCCCGCGAAGGGGCCCTCGGGCAGCGAGCAGCCGCCCCCCGCCGCGGCCCGGCTCCTCCTGCCCAGCCGCACCGCCACGAACCCCAGCACCGCCACCAGCAAGAGCGACGACACCGACGCCAAGGCCACCACCAGGTGGACGGTGAGCGGGTCGGCCCGGGCCTCGGCCGCCGCCGCGGCCGGGAGCGGCAGGTAGGGCTGCGAGAAGCCGTCCACCAGCAGCACGTGCAGCGTGACGCTGGCCGACAGCGGCGGCTCGCCGTTGTCCTTGACCAGCACCAGCAGCCTGTGCCGGACGGCGTCGCGCGCGCTCAGCGGCCTGGCCGTGCGCACCTCGCCGTTGTGCGCCCACACGCCGAACAGCCCGGGCTCCGTGGCCCTGAGCAGCTGGTACGCCAGCCAGGCGTTCTGGCCCGAGTCGCCGTCCACCGCCACCACCTTGGTCACCAGGTAGCCCGCCTCGGCCGCCCTGGGCACCAGCTCGGGGCAGCGCGCCGAGCCGTTCTGCGGCGGGTACAGCACGAAGGGCGCGTTGTCGTTGGCGTCCCCCACCAGCACGCGCACCAGCGCCTGGCTGCTGAGCGCCGGCGAGCCGCGGTCGGCCGCGCCCACGCGGAACTCGAACGCGCGCAGCGCCTCGAAGTCCAGGGAGCTGAGCGCGAACAGCTGCCCGGTGGCCGCGTTGAGGGACACCAGCGAGGCCAGGGGCAGCCGCGGGTCGTGCGGCGGCAGCAGCGAGTAGGTGACCTGCGCGTTGGCGCCCGCGTCTCTGTCCGCGGCGCTCACGCGGCCGATGTGCAGGCCGGGGCTGTTGTTCTCGCGCACCCGCAGGGTGTAGGCGGTGTGGCTGAAGGCCGGCGCGTTGTCGTTCACGTCGGACACCGTCACCGTCATGTGGTGCTGGGTTTGCAGCCTGGGGGTGCCCAGGTCAGTGACGGTGATGGTGATGTTGTACTCGGCCTGGCTCTCTCTGTCCAGCGCTCCTTCAGTTACCAAGGTGTAGAAATTCTCGACTGATGGTCTTAGAAGAAAGGGGAGATTGTCATCTATAGAACAAATAACCTGTTGATTTTGTCCAGAATCTGCATCTGACACACTGAAAACTGCTACTATGACCTCTGGCAGGTTTTCGGGGATGGGACTGACGAGGGAGGACATGGTCAGTTGAGGAGCGTTGTCATTTACGTCCAGAACCTTGATGACTAAAGAGCATTTTCCTGATAGTCCCCCGCCATCTGTAGCCTCAATATCCACGTGGTATGATTGAAATTCCTCAAAATCCAAAGTCTTTCTCAGTCGAATTTCTCCTGTAATTGCGTTTATTTCGAAGGGTTGATTAACGTCATCTCCCTGAAATAGGGCATAAGATACCTCCCCAAAGGATCCTGCATCTAAATCTGTCGCTGAGACGGTGATAATCAGGGAGCCTAGGGAATTGTTTTCAGGGATTTGTGCCTCATAGAGTTCCTGAGCAAATTCGGGAGCATTGTCATTGATGTCCAAGACCAGGATCTGAATCTCCGTGCTCCCAGACCTGGGCGGAGACCCACCATCCAGCGCTGTGAGGGTAAGCCTTAGTTCGCGCTGCTCCTCGCGGTCCAAGGCTTTGTCCAGCACCAGCTCCGGGAACTTCCTGCCATCGCTGCGATTGCGAGTGAGAACGTGAAAATGAGGATTGGAGCTGATTATATAGCTCTGAAGACTGTTGTTACCAGCGTCTAAATCCTGTGCCATTTTCAAAGGAAATAGCTTTCCTGGTGTAGTAATTTCTGATATTTTTAGTAGCATTTCTCTGGCTGGGAACTCTGGGGCGTGGTCATTTATATCTCTGACTCGTAAAGCAGCCTGAAAAAACTGCAAGGGATTTTCCAGTAACACTTGAAAAGGTAGCACGCATGGCTCAGTGGAGCCGCACAGCTCTTCCCGGTCCAGTTTCTCATTTAGCAGTAAATCATAGGTCTTTGGGTCAAGCTGCAAATACTGTCTGTTCCCCTTGAAAACAACCTGGGCACCACGCGCAGCCAGTTCTCCTCTCCTGAGTCCCAGGTCCTTTGTCAAATTGGCCACAAACGTGCCAGTTTCTGACTCCTCCAGTACAGAATATTGAATCGATTCTGAACCGGCTTCCCACAAAAGCACCCATATAATGAGAATTGCCACTTGCCTTTTCTTGCGATGTACTTTTGTTCTCGCCATCTCCATTATGTCTGATCCCAGAGGAAAAAATCTTTTTCCAGTCCCCATCATCACGTCCACCACCGACCCTCCGAAATGTCTTTACTGTTGAATTTCGAATTCGTCTTATAACTTGTCTGGTGACGAGTGCCTTCCTGAATACTACTATCTTAGCTCCAGCTGTAAGTGTGTTCTGTATTTGGGGGGGCTTCTGAATAAAATGGAGTCCACCGAATCTGCAGAGCTCTTATTCACTCTCTTAGCCTGCACTGCCACCACGCGTTCAAATTAATAACTTCAGGAGGTGCATACAGGCAATACCATTTCCAAAATCTGAGCCTTATAAAGACTTTCAGGTGGAGTTAGTGTTTTTCAGATTGTAGTGTGTGAACCATATGCATAAATAATTACTTGGGAGTCTGAGTTGTTTTTTTCCAGGTTGACTCCTGGGTTTCCCTCCAGACCTTGAATGAAATTCTCTGGTGGTGCTAAGGGCTGAAAATCTGCACTTCAATCTCTCTCTTTAAGTGATTCTCGTGCATACTAATGTTTAGGAATCACACCCTCAGGTAATGTAAACCTGTAAAACCAATTTTTATTCTTTGGCAGTGAAATTTATCTCTGATGAGTAGTGTGATTTGTGAATCCAAAAGTACACTATTTAATCGTCCCAACAAACAAGTCAATAAACTATACAAAATGTAAAAGTTGGTTAGCAACACCAATTATAAAATAAACAATTATTTCTCTAAGTTATATGGCTCATAAAATGGCATGAACAACAAGACTTAACTTATTTTGTGGTTACACCTGCACAGTAAGGGGAACAATTAAGCTATTAGGAGGAAAATTGAGGCCAACACATACTTATGATAGAAGTATCTGATTAATTAAATTATTTAAAAGGGTAACTAGTGGGGCACCTTGGTGGTGCAGTCAGCTAAGCGTCAGACTCTTGGTTTCAGCTCATGTCATGATTTCAGAGTTGTGAAATAGAGCCCCCAGATGGCTCTGAGCTCCTGAGCTCCCTGCGAGTCAGCTTAAGACTCTTTCCCT